TCGTGAGCCCTTGGGTCAAAATTTACAAAATTAGTCTCATTACATTCGAAGGAACATTCTGAGTCGATTGATATCCAATTATCCCATATTCGCCATTTTGGGTGTCGGTCATTTTGAATTTTGTCCAAAAACACCATATTTTATGAACGCACTAAGGTATTGTCACCAAAATTGGAATGCATGTTCAACTCTAAGCCCTGAAAGTGCTCAAAAATTTTAGAGCACCTTGTGGTCAAAAGTTATAAAGTTATAAAAATTTAGAAAAATGCTAATAAATTCTGATGCAATAACCTTATTGTCACGTGACTGGTCTTGATAGATTCCCTGGAAGGTCGTGCATGCATTAAAACCAAATTTTCCATAATTTGACCAACTTTCTGTTTGCCATTGTTATGCCAATGAAAACGCTACTTTTTCGAACTCCTAGACTGTTGGTCCGATTTTCACAAAATTTGACTTTGAAAATTGCTGCTTGCAGCTGTATTTATTATTATTTTTTTTGCACAGCTCTGATCACAGCATTATAAGGAGGATGAGGTCTGGACTTTGACTGGACTATTGCAACCCCTTGTTTGTTTTCCTCTACAGCTGTTCGGATGTAGGTTTGCAGGTAGACTTGGGGTCATTGTTTTGTTGCGTGGCCTAATCTTGGTGAAGCTTTAGCTGTTAAGATTTATTCATTCATTCATTTTCTTGTCAGCTTAGTCCTTTTATTAATCCGGGGTCGCCACGGCGGAATGAACCGGCAACTTATCCAGCACGTTTTTACGCAGCAGATGACCTTCCAGCTGTCACCCATCTCTGGGAAACATCCACACACACATACATTAGGGACAATTTAGCCTACCCAATTCACCTGTACCGCAAGTCTTTGGACTGTGGGGAAAACTCGAGCACCCGAAGGAAACCCACGCGAACACAGGGAGAACATTCAAACTCCACACAGAAACGCCAACTGAGCTGAGGTTCAAACCAGTGACCTTCTTGCTGTGAGGTGACAGCACTACCTACTGTGCCACTGCGTCGCCCCAAAATCAGATTAATTCTGTAATTTCTAGTCAAACTCATGTCTCATAAGTTCAGCGTGTAGCACTAGCGGTTTGACTTCCTTCATTAAACAACAACAGCATCATAACTCGGTCCAGCAGCATTAGTAATCTGCAAAAGATGACCTTGGCTTTTAGGATCATGTGGATGACACTGCTAAATCAGAGGCTTCGCTTACTTAAGACAGGGCTGCCAGAGAGCCTGTCGCACTGAATTATTTATCAATTAGATGACCGTTAGAGGGGACAGAGAGACGACAGAGGGGACAGGAAAAATAACAGCACTGTGTGTGTGTGTGTGTGTGTCTGTGTGTGTGAGAGAGAGAAATATGTGTAAGGGTGTGCTGGCAGATAAGAGTACATGTATGTTATGTATGTGTGTTTGCGTGAGATGCAGTTATCTGTTGGAGGCTCTTTATTATGGTCTTGCACAGCTTGTCACTGCATAGACTTGCTGTTAATGCAAGTAATATACGTTTGTATGTGTGTACTTCTGGGGTGAGAAAAGCCTTTAGGTAAGTGTGTTTTCAATTCATTCATTCATTCATTTTCTTTTCGGCTTAGACCATTCATTAATCCGGGGTGGCCACAGCGGAATGAACCACCAACTTATCCAGCAGGTTTTTAGGCATTGGATGCCCTTTCAGCTGCAACCCATCTCTGGGAAACATCCACTCACACTCATTCACATACACACACTCATACACTACGGACAATTTAGCTTACTCAATGCACCTGTACCGCATGTCTTTGGACTGTGGGGGAAACCGGAGCACCCGGAGGAAACCCACGCGAACGCAGGGAGAACATGCAAACTCCACACAGAAACGCCAACTGACCCAGCCAAGGCTCGAACAAGCGACCTTCTTGCTGTGAGGCGAAAGCACTGCCTACTGCATCACTGTGTTGCCGTTTTCTATTCAATTCAATTCATCTTTATTTGTATAGTGCTTTTACAATGTAGATTGTGTCAAAGCAGCTTACATACAGAAGACTATGGTGAATACTAACAGTGTCAGTCCAGCTTTCAGAGTTTAAGTTCAGTTGTCTTTGCAAACATGCTAAAATGCTATACATGATGGCACATGCAGACACTGATAAAATGAGGATGTTACAGTTCCAGGTTATCAGTTTCATCAGTCTGAATGAAACAGAAAGCCATTAGTCAGATTACTGCAAACAAGTCCTGAACACCAGCAATTCACCATTACAAACTTATAACTTCACAAATACAGTCTTTATATAGCATTAGAAGCATTTGTCAAAGACAGTAGCCTATTAGGGAAGCAAATGGAGAACTTCATGACTTAACTTCACTTCTGTGTCTTTATTATATACACGGTACAAAAAATCTATGATCAATTAGTCCTGACAGCATATGTTTTAGTTCCTTGTAACTTTAATCATGTTCTGACTTAAATTTATAAGTTACACAAGCTGTTAAGGTCAGTTTAACATAATATAATTTCAATGGAACTCAAGAGATTAATTTTATTCAGCTTAAAAATTTAAGGCAACCAGGATTTGTACAGTGTAGTTAAAAGTGTCATTTTGATAGTTTTGTTTTCTCTTCACAAATCACAAGTGCATTTATTGGCATTGCCTGATTTCATACATTGTCAGTTTTCAATAAAACAATGTATAATGAGGTTTCAGTTTTTATTTAAGCTGGCAGATGTAGTGGGCAGGTGCTGTAAAGCCTTTTTGAATGTTTTTGTGCAATTCTGATTGGAAATTTCTGTGCAAAATCATAAGAAATACATAACTTGAAATGATGCAGGCTCTAACCTGCACATATCAATCATCAACAGTCTTAGATGGAGTATATTTGTAATGATAAATTGCCATTATTTTTTACCTTTGAAGCTTGACTGACATGATTATGGACAAGGCCTTTTTACAAAGGTATTTTTCGCTCAGTTTTTGTTTGACACAATCCAGACTTTTCTTCTCAGAACTTTAAGTTAACATCTCTTAAAATTTTTGACATGAATGTATAATTCTGAAAAACATCCCAATTAGCATTTTTTGCAAGTCCTAAACCCAGACGTTTATATTTCAAACTTTTTAGTTATAAAAACGTTTTTGAACCTTTTCAGCCAATGATAAACTTCTGATGAAAGGTTAATGTGACTATTTTCAATTTCATAAGGTTTCTTTTCCAGCATCGATGTTATAGTGTCAATAAAATACATTCAGTTAAACAGACTTAAGGATTTTTATAGTTGTTCAACCATAAAACGAGATAAAAAGACTAAACGCTAGCACCGTCAGGATCATCAGGCAAAAATCTTAATTGAAAATTCTGGGGTAAAATAAACTGTCATATTTCAAAGACATGGCAGGGGGGAATGGAATTTAATGCAGTGGTTTTTGTTCAGTCTAAGACCCACTTTATACCGTATATCCATCAGGTAGTGAAGATCACTTATTTTTAAAGAAATCAGACCTTAAACGTGGCAATTTCATAATAGAAACACAGTTCACCCGCAGAGCTGAGGCTGGCTGGCTGAAATGAAAAGTCTCTGTGCATATACCCCATTGTGAAGGAAAGTTTCAGAGGTCTAAGCTCTGATTCACCTCAAATGCAGCCTGGATGGCATGAAGAGGAGAGTCCAAGACTTGTGTCAGCAAGTTGTATAAACTTTCAGTGAGAAATACAAGGCAAGGTTTCACTCTGGAATGAGAACTTTCACATGTTGATGGAGTGATGGTGCCAATTGACCTGACGCTGTGGGTCATTCCCATAGATATGGTGTGATGTGACACCAGTTCAAACCTCTAGCACCATCAGGTACAGCATACTGATTAAACTGAACATAGAGTGGTATTCACTGTAGCAGGGTGTCTCACTTCATAATAGGTGTGGAAAATATAGTCTGTTTGACATTACGGAGGATTTCTGAGAGGGCTTCTACTTGTGATTTAATGGAATTTAGAATTGCAGCTATTAATCGTAAAGTATCATGAAATCCCCATTTTTCAGTTCAAGTCTACCTTAGAATACAACTTAATTGGGCATGGGAAGCTGTGAGCAGGAGAGAAAAAGGACAGCGAAAATTCATCAGTGGCCCTTACTGACCCAATAATATCCAATTGCGGATCTGCAGACACAAATGTTTCAGGCCACACTAGATTGAGACCACTAGATTTAGGTTTCCAAGTAGGAGGGGCATTTCAGTTTCAGCATCTTATGCCGCGAGTAGGTTGGTAAGTGTTACAGCTGCTGCTAATGAGAATGTGCAAATACATATAACATCTCATTTGTGCACAGAACAACAATAAATACTGTTAATTTTTTTAACTTAAGAGGTTCCCAGGTAGCAAATAATTCTGGCCCAGGCATTTAATCAGCAATGGCATACAGCATGTGGGCCAAACATGGGTCAGGTTTGGCAGAATTGGCACTGTCTTTAAGGTGGCGCACATGACATGGGCCGGATGTAAAATGTAGTATTTGGCCCAGATGTTAAAAAATTGATATGTGGGCCATGTAAGTTTCCTGACCCACATTTAAAATACAATTAATATTAATATATGTTTTATTAACCAAATTACCATTTTACAAATCATACTAACCTTTACAACACAGGCTCATTCTGAAAAGAAAGTCCTGCGGACATTTCTTGAGAAGACCGTGAATTATGTAGCCAGAGGTATATATGGCTGCATTTAATTTTTTAAGAGAACACTACCGGCGGTATGGCGCTAACCAGCTGACCGCTTACTTCTGTGTGGAGGGCTTTCCCGCTGCAACGAGTTTGTCCAGTTAGCTTGTCGTGTACGTCGGTGGACTTGAGACGCAGAGAGGAGTTGATCATGACGACGACCGGGTTCAAATACGGGAAAGAGCGGTTCCTGAAATTAGGTAAGACAAAAACAGAATCCAAAAATTAAAATGAACGAGTGAACAACAGGGTGAGAATGTGGTAAAATCAGAAAACATAGTTGAGAGAACATATTGTCCTCTTTTTAGTGTGCTTGCAGCTACGTGCAGAAGTGCTTGTGGTTTTGTGTATATGTGTGTATATGTCAGAAATATGAGGCCATGGTCTGGTTTCAGTCTTGCAGGTGTTAGAAATATGAGACCATGGTCTGGTTTCATTTCGCAGCTTCACCCACGCTGGAAAATTCCACTATGCTCAGATATGAAATATGCTGATTCATGTTAAGACAAAATGCTGTATGACTAGCCCATATTTGGAGTGCCTTTCTGCTATCAGCCCCTGTGTATAAATATCCCTGTCCATCCTGTGTTGTCAGGCTTGCAGAATAAACCATTCTAACTACAGTTTGGTCTCTTCTCATGTCTCCGGGTCGACCTGCTGAACTTTGCTGAATCTGGTGCCTAATATAGGGGAAATCTTACAGATCTGGGGGCTCGTCCGGGATACATCTGATCAGGTAAGAGAATTTTTATTCACACTGCCTGCTCCGGTGTATCTCAGGAAATCGTAAGATTTTAGTTACAATTGAGTTGAGAGGTCTGTGTTTTAGAGCACAGAATATCCTGGCAAGTTTACTTTCCACAGTAAATTGCCCAGAAGGATTTGTGTTGTCGTACCCAATTAAATTTGGGTTCCACAAATCAGAAAAATTTCTTAATTCGACACTGGTTATCCTGTCAAGTTTACTTCAAACAGTAAATTGCACAGAAGGATTTGTGTTGTTGTACCCGATTAAATTTGGGTTCCACAAATCAGGGGTTTAATAAATTTTAGTAAATAAGTATTACGCACCAGCTTCAGCAATATGGGACAAGGATATCCAAAACCAGAACCCAGTGAGAGTCCAAAAGCAATGGATGGATAGATGTGGGTGGGGATTTTACACTGAACCCTGGCTGTCCAATTTAGCTGGATGGACAGAGGGACAATCTCAAATGGAGAGACTTTCCTAGGGAAGGAACATTTGACCCAGGTTTCCTTCAGTTAGCTTACAAATTGATATGGGGATCCAGAATGTAATGACCAATATATGATGAATGGATATGACACATGGTATAAAATGAGTTCTATATGGAGGGATATAAAAAAAAAAAAAAAAAAAAAAAAAGGGCATTTTTACACCCAAAACTGTTTTGAAATCTGTCCCCAAACCTAAAAGCAGAAGTAATACTGCCCTTACGGCAGATAAGAGAGGCTCTCTTGCAGCTGCTAAAACCACCATGACGTCACCACTCCCTTATACGGGGCCTTTGCAATCTATTTCATGCTCTGTCAGTGTTCCTCCTACAGTCCTACAGTGCCTTCTATTTATCCGTCTCTGACAGAAATGATTAAAACTAAACCAGACCCCTCCGACAGCACGGAGGGCACTACTTCAGCTTCTAATGTGGCTGCGGTATGGGTTGCTAAACCACGAGGGATAGAGATAATTCCGCCCTCACCCTCTGTTCTGAAGGATCTCATATCTCTTCTGCCCGAAGTGGACAAACCACTGCAATTTGTAGACATGCTGTTGCGCAGCTCGCGTCACTGCCAACTAATTGGGGCAGATTATCGATTTATCCTTTAAACCAAAATGGGTTCGTCCTATGACGATGACGAAATAACAACAAAAATACCTGCTCTTGATCCCAAGCTTGATATAGTACAAACAGAAACTGTTAAGGAAGAAACAGATGATAAAAAGACACGCACTCGTATAAAAACACGCCTCGCGTAGAAAGATGATCAGTAGGAGCTCCTGACACATCTAAAACAGCAGCTTACTAAATACTTAGTACCATACTTACTGGTCTGAATGTGACGCAACGACTGATCCTAATGGAATAATGCTAGATGGCAAGGGCCGTTTATGCCTGCCATCATCCTGTGCACCTTTTCTCGTCCGCGAGTTTCACGGTGTTACACACCGCGGCCGAAGAGGGGTAATAGACACAATGAGTTAATAGACACAATGAGTTAATAGACACAATGAGTTCCTTTTTATGCATTAATAATTTACAACATCATGTTAATAACACCTTAGATAGATGTCTGATATGTGCGCAAAACAATATCACTAAACCTCAAGCTAAACATCAACAATTGCCCCTTCCTGAAACACTTTTTCAGGAATGGCAGGTAGATTTCACACATCTGCCAAAGAGGGGTCCTAATAAATATTTACTGGTTTTTGTGGACAAATTTTCAAAATGGGTTGAAGCCTTCCCATGCAGTAAGGAAGATGCTAATACAGTTGTTAGATGTTTGACAAGAGAAATCATTCCAAGATACGGTATACCATGTGCCATAGACTCAGATAAGGGAACCTCATTTACTGCGAAAGTAATACAAAATCTAGCTAAAGAACTCCAAATTAATTGGCAGCTACATATTCCCTACCATCCACAATCATCTGGTATAATAGAACGAACTAATAGGACTATTAAGGACAAATTAAGAAAGGCTATGCAACATGCAGGGCACTCAAATTGGCTCGCCTTGCTACCTCTCGTTTTGGCAGACATGAGGATGTTTCCTCACAAAAGTCTTCACGGTCTCTCTCCTTATGAGACTGTGATGGGACGACCCTTTCCCTCACCATGGAGGCAAAGGGGTACCACACTGGGTGACGGTTCTCTGGATATTCATATGAGTGAATGTGCACAACAGCTACTAACAACATTGCATGCATACTGGACTAACATACATTCTGGTTCAGCCCCGATGACGGTAGACCCAACACACCCCTTTAAGGCCGGTGACAGAGTAATGATTAGACAGCTCAATAAAATGAGCACAGAACTGGGGGACCCCAAATATGGCCCCCCGACGGATGTCGTGGCTGTAACCAGAACCGCCGTTTTAACCTCCTCTTCTCCACAGTGGATCCATGCAACCAGGATAAAACGAGCACCTATTGAATAATAAAAATGTATAAGTTTTGTACTATGATAATCTGTCTGCAGACTCTCTTTGTTTTACAGATTTTGGGGGCCCCCTCAGCACAGACGACACCTCTACAGCTGCAATTCACCTCTACAGCTGCACAATTGCGTTTGGGAGACAGATGGGAGCTAAACACGTAGCACTGTAGCACTGTCTACCTTAAGGCAAGGGTCAGCATGACTTCCTTTTTGCTGCGGACAATTGGACTGTTTCTCTTTCTTGTGACTCAAGCTAATGCTGGACACATGATCATGAATTCGGATGGGCAGAGGATGGGGCTGACAATCCTATTGGAACTAATATGTGGTATCAATATGTGAAAGTTTTAACGCGTTCTTATAATGTATCTGGATGTTATGTATGTTCTGTTATGCCTCATTCAGCCAAACAAACCCCTCTTTATGCCAAACCCATGAATAAGACCTCTGCTAAATGTTCTGCCAGTTTTGCAGGATCAGGGTACCAGAATCCATATATAATTGTCGATGACTACGATCCATACCGGATTGGCATTAGAAATGGTACATGTGATGCTCTATTTTGGGTAAAATTTGGCCACGCTAAACCCTCACCTATTAGCCACAAGGTTTTTTATTAACCACTCTATTACACACCCTGTGTGTTATAACCAGACCATGGGCTCTCATTTCATGGGAAGCACTGTTAACTGTCAACAAATTGCCTCCTCGGGAGAGGGGGCCCCAG